CTGCTGCTGCTGCTGCTGCTGCTGCTGCTGGCGTTTGTTTGAGGGACAGTTAAGACCATCAGCAGCAACGGCTGCACGAGTCCAGCAGCAGCAGAGGCCCTCTTTGCATATACTGCTTCGCGGGCAGCATCGGCAGCTCGTCGCCACTTTTGCTGCTGATGTTCTGCTGCTGCAGCAAATTCCTTTGCTGCTGTCTCGTTCCAACCAGCAGCAGCAGCAGCAGCAGCAGCGCTCCTGTCTTTTTTGGGCTGCTGCTTTGCATTCTTCTTTTTCTTCTTGCCTTTTCCCGTGTCAGTGCCACCTCCAGAGTCAGAAGCTTCGGCGTCGCTGCCGGCGTTGCTGCCGCTGCTGCTGCTGCTGCTGCTGCTGCTGCTGCTGACGAGGCTGACTGAGCTGGAGCTGCTGCTGGCGGACTCCGAAGCAACAAAACTCGCAGAAGAAGGCGAAGTGTCTCCTTTGTCTTTTGTTTGTCTCTTTTGTCCTTTTCTTTTGGCTGAAGCCTTTGCGCGGCTGCTGCTGCGGCTCCCCTTCTTCCCCCCTGCTGCTGCTGCTGCTGCTGCTGCTGCTGCTGCTCGCCCTGTCTTCTTCTTCGCTGGCAGCTTTTGCTGCTTCTCTACTGCCTCCGAGTCCTCAGCTTCTGTTTCTTTTTCTTTTTCTTTTTCGCTGTCTCCGCTGTCCCCTGGGGGCCCCCTCCCCTTATGAGGGGGGCCACCCCTGCCCCGCTGGGCCCTGGGGCCCCCCCTGGGGGCCCTGGGGGCCCCCTTGGGGGCCCCCTTAGGGGCCCCCTTGGAAAGCCCTTTGGGGGCCCCCTTGGGGGCCCCCTTGGGGGCCCTGGGGGCCCCCTCATCTGAGCCGCTGGGGCCCTCCGGGTCTGTTGAAAGCTCTCCAGAAAGAGTTGCAGATACTGCAGCACGGGCCCGCCGTGTTGCTGCTCGTTGCGGGCGCCCCCCCGCTGCTTCTGCTGCTGCTGCTGCTGCTGCTGCTGCTGCTGCTTCTTGTATCCCAGGTGTACGTACACCCGGGCTCGGACTCCGGCTGCTGCAGGCTCCATGGGCTGGAGAGGACCTGGATGGAGAAGCAGCTTCGTGGGCCCTAGAACGAGCGCCAGCCCTGTTGCAGGAGCTGCTGCTGCTGCTGCTGCTGCTGCTGCAGTTAGCGTGGCGCAGCTGCGACCCGCTGGCCAGGAAAACGGCGATGAAGCCCTGGGAGGCCACGGCCACGACAGAGCCGCT